CTACCTTGCCAGCTCTAGCCCTTTCTTTACTTGCTTGCTTGCTCCAGCACCTCATCCTCCTCCCCCTTCTCTTCCTCTCCTCCTGTTGTCTCCCTGCCCCTGCTTCCCTTCCTCTGCCCCCATGCTCAGCCACTTGGCTTCCTGGCAGCAAGCTAGCAAACAGGGTTAGAACCTGTGCCACCGTCTGCCCCCTCCTCTGCAGCGTGGAATCAGAATTTTCCATTGCATCCAGAGAAGGCGAGGGCGGGGAAAGTGTTCAACCCTGCAGTTTCCCAGGTCTCCAGGCATTTAGCAACCTAGATTTGTTCTGCTTTGAAAGTCTCACACAGCATTCAGAGTAGTTAAGAAAATAGCATCTAAATCACCTTCACCGGGCCTCTCCCTGTTTTTTTTCAGCCAACAAACCTGCATGAGGGGAAGAGGTAAGGCCACAGAAAACCAATGTGGCAGTTACTGCAAGGGTTCTGATGCACGGCCCCGGGGCATCCTGCTGAGGCTTCACAGGGGTGGCAGCCGGGGAGACAATCAGTTTATTTTCTTTTTTAAGATTTACTTACTGGGGCCGGTGTTGTGGCGTAGCTGGTAAAGCCATCGCCTATAATACCAGCATCCCATGTGGGCGGGTTTGTGTCCCAGCTGCTCCACTTCTGATTCAGCTCTCTGCTAATGGCCTGGGAAAAGCAATGGAGGACGGCCCAAGTGTTTGGACCCCTGCCATCCACGTGGGAGATCCTGATGAAGCCATCCGGGGAATGAACCAACAGATAGAGGAAGATTTCTCTCTCTCTCTCTGCAACTCTGGCTTTCCAATAAATAAATCTTTTTGATTGATTGATTGATTGATTGATTTGAAAAGCAAAATGACAGACAGAGAGGGACAGACAGAGAGAACTTCTCTTGGCTGATTCACTCACCAGGAACTCAGTCTGAGTCTCCTCCCTGAGTAACAGGGTCCTAAGTACTTGAGTACTAAGTACTAAGTACTTGAGTACTAAGTACCTGCTGCCCCCATGCATGTTAGCAGGGAGCTGGATCAGAAGCCAGTGGCCAGCCGGTGCCACGGCTCACTAGGCTAATCCTCCACCTGTGACACTGGCACTCCAGTTTCTAGTCCCAGTTGGGGCGCCGGATTCTGTCCCGGTTGCTCCTCTTCCAGTCCAGCTCTCTGCTGTGGCCCAGGAAGGCAGTGGAGGATGGCCCAAATGCTTGGTCCCTGCACCCTCATGGGAGACCAGGAGAAGCATCTGGCTCCTGGCTTTGGATAGGCGCAGCGTGCAGGCTGTAGAGGCCATTTGGGGGGTGAACCAATGGAAGGAAGACCTTTCTCTCTGTCTAACTCTGCCTGTCAAAATCAAACAAAAAAAGCCAGTGGCGCAGGAAGCAGGCGCCCCAAGCACCGATGAACCCACTGTACCACAGCCCTAGCCCAGTCAGTATTTCCTTAATCAGTGGCCTCTTCACAGACCTGTGTAATTCTACACGTGGGAGTGGGAGTGAGCCAGTGGGCCTCACTTAATGACTCACTGTAGCTCGCTGACCAGCAGTGTAGACAGAACCTGGAGTCTTGCTAGAAATGCAGAATCCCAGGCCCCACCCGAGACTGCTGAATCAGAATCTGAATTTTTTACAAAGTCTCTGAAGCGTTTATGCACAAATTAAAATCTGAGAAGCGCTTACTTTATCGTCCAAACTCGACAAATTCATTTTCTCCCTTAATGAGTGGTATTACCGTAATGATCCTAAACGCAGTTTTCCTTCCTTCTATTTTGCTAACTCTCCCATAAAAACAGCATTCCAGAGAGTAAATCCGTCATATTCCACAGAGTAGCTCCATGGTCCAGTGCTTCCCCACCAAGGGCCCAGGACCATCCTGCCCTCACAAACCCACACGAGCGTCTTTCTCCTTGGGAAGTCGCCCCCGTCCTCTGCTTTGTGGGGTCAATCCTGCTTCTAGATGGATTCACATTCGTGGCTGATGCTTTATCAGAGACTCTTAAGACGTCTGACCCATGGGCCTTGTGTTCTCCGTGGATCAGGGGTCAGTGCCCCTGAAGGGGGTTGTGCCAAGCCCTCTGCAGTAGCTCATTTGTTTGGGTCAATGCAGGGCCATTGAATTACTTATAGCAAATACCATGTGGTGCACTTTGGAAGAATGATAGTGTTACCGTGGGAGGAATCCATGCTTCCCAACCTACTATCTTTTGCAGAAAAGGTGAGTTGGGTCTGGTAAGTCATCCTGGTGTGTTTGATTTCATTTTTGTTCATCTTTTCAAAATGTTTGTATCAGTCAACCAGCCTGTTTTAATAAGGGAGGTGATTTTTATCTTTGTTAGGTTTCCTGAAATAGCCCGAGTATCCCCGTCAACTCAGGCATTCAGGAAGTCTAGGAGAAATAAGGGAGGAAGAGGAGAAGGCTTTTGTTTGCTTTCTTCTCATGGACCTTGAGGAATTAAGATACGGGCCAGCTTGGATCACTGAGTATCCGTGAGGGTAGAAGGGTTTGACCAGCAGAGACTCCGCAAGTGGCACCCTATCCCAGGCCCCAGGAAGCCCCATGCTCTGCAGTGCCTTCCTCAACACTTTTAAGCCCCCCTCTAATTCCTGCGATAGGCCAGGGCCAACAACACCATTCAGGAGAAATGCCCAGATCTTAGGCTATAGCAGTGTGTATAGGGCCTATTTCTGCTCTCCAGGAGGCGTGTCTACCTGCTCCCTTCACGCGGGTACAACCCGATTCTCTCATGACCCAGCCTCACACCTGTGGGCTTACCCTGGGGCTCTGCCACCAGGCTCTGGCTCCAGGAGATGGTGCTGACCAAAGGGCTGCTCCCAATGGTCGACACACGATCTCCTCCTTGGAACTGCGCAAGATCAGCCTAACAGAATGGTGCTGATTTGGAGTGGCTCAAATCATTTCTACAAATAGGGTCTCCTGGAAAGAGATTTGCCTGGAGCCCCACACCTTCCAGGCATGGCCTTAGTAGTCGGCAATATTCTGCATCGTGGACATGACTTAGAATGGAGGATGGAGGCAGAGAAGGCAGAAGTCAAAACAAAAATGGTCTGGGCGGGGGCAGCCCTGTGGTGCAGTGGGTTAAAGCCCCTGTGTGCCACGCCAGCATCCCATGTGGGCACCGGTTCAAATCCCGGCTGTTCCACTTCTGATCCAGCTCTCTGCTATGGCCTGGGAAAGCAGTGGAAGACGGCCCAAGTCCTTGAGCCCCTGCATCCATGTGAGAGACCAGGAAGAAGCTCCTGGCTCCTGGCTTCGGATAGGCACAGTTTTGGCCATTGTGGCCATCTGGGGAGTGAACCAGCGGATAGAAGATCTTTTTCTCTTTCTGCCTCTGCCTCTTGTAAATCTGCCTTTCAAATAAATAAATAAATCTTTAAAAAACAGTCTGCGGAAAACAAGCGGCAAAGGGGGCAGAAGCTGCTTGTTGGAGCACAGTTAGGATGCCAGGGCGCTTGCCACCCACCTCACACGCGGGCCCACCCCTGGAGGCCACCCACCCTAGTGGACCCAGGCTTGCCTAAGCAAACACCCTTTGGGTGAGAATATGCCTCTATGAGGTTGTAGGGGAAATTATAATGAATTTTTATTGCTTTGAAAACTAATTTGGCCCTAATGCCTGGAGCACAAAAGGAATTAGGCAGCCAGCGTAGGAGAAATGGAAACGCGGTGCCCTCTGCTTGGCTTCCTATGGAGTGCATTTTCAGTGCGAGCCCAGTGCTCTGACAGAGCTCGGGATGTTTGTTTGAAGACGGAGGGTCTGTTCTCTGCGCACAAATCACAGAGAGCGCGGTCAGGAGCATGGTTAAGGGGCCAGATTATTGCAAGAGCATGTAGCAATGGCTGAGAGCACCACTACATGAAAGCGAATTTTTGTAACCCCAGAATATTTTGGATCATGAATTGCAAATTGCACAAGTCCCTGAGAGTGAAGCCTGCACAGGGCTCCGCAAAGTTAGGTCTGAAATTTATGAGGCTGTGCCAGGAACCGTGGATTCATCAGCTGAGGCTACCTACCGAGTTTATTTTATGGCGGCAGGCGTTTATTGAGCATCTGCTACATGGCAGTCACGAAGTGCTTCCTCACTCATTCGTTCTCGACTCCATCTTCTCCTCCACAGCTTTGGATTTTTAAAATTGTTTTCGACTGACAAATAAAATCCAGATGCAGTTATCAAGTACAACATGATCTTTTTCTAAAGATGTATGTATTCATTTGAAAGTCAGAGTTACACAGAGAGAGAAGGAGAGGCAGAGAGAGAGAGAGAGAGAGAGAGGTCTTCCATCCACTGGTTCACTCTCCAGATGGCCGCAGATTTTGAGTTCTTGCCACAGATTTGGGAAATCCAGATGGAGTTTCAGGCTCCTGGCTTCAGCCTGGCCAGATCCCAGCCATTGTGATTATTTGGGGAGTGAACCATGGATGGACAATCTCTCTCTCTCTCTCTCTCTCTCTTTCTCTCTCACTGTCTCATTCTGTCACTCAGCCTGTTAAATAAAAATAATGTGATTTAAAAAAAATCACATTTCTCCACTGTGAAAAATTAAGATGATGCTCACGAGAATATACTCTAACCTTATTTCACCTGTTTTGCTATATTCTTGAGCATGACAATTCTCTTTAAAATATCAGAGTTTAGTAACATGCTGGGATATTTATCATGCACTTTCTTATCTTAGTTGACCTTCGTAATAATCAGTTAAGAAAAATGTTCATAGCCCTTCCTTATCACATACTTGGAAAAAGTCGAGGCGACTTGGCTGGAAATACATTAATCCAAGGCTCAAGCAGAGAATTTTTCTTTCTTTTTTTTTTTTCATTTTTGGCAAACACGGTGCACTGTATCTTTGACTTGATGTTCAAGCCCCCTTTAACACTATTTCTTTGCCTATTCCGTCTCTTACCCTCTCTCAATTTGGATGCGGTTCTGTCCCTGGCATCTCAGGTTCTTGACTGTGGCCTGTCCATCTGTTTCTGTCTTCCCAGAAGGCCAGGGATTCGTGAGTGAAGATGAATACCTGGAAATCTCTGACATCAAGCGGGACCAGTCTGGGGAGTATGAGTGCAGTGCTTTGAACGATGTTGCTGCGCCAGATGTGCGGAAAGTGAAAATCACTGTGAACTGTGAGTTGACCCCTTAATCAGGGAATTCAATGCACTTGAATTGGGGGAAGCAGGCCCCGGGGCTTCGGCTGTCCCAGGTGACACCACTCTGAAAGACTCACCTCCAAACAGCTGCCAACAAGAAAATACTTCATTGGATCCCCTTGTCCCATCGTGGCCACCATTGGCATTTGTCCCTGGAATCTTCCTCTTCTGACTGTCAGAGCTTCCAGTGAGTGGGGAGGACTGTTAACTTAGAATTGGTTTGTAGATCTGTAGAACATGCCAGGGTAAATGCAATATCTTCAAGCAGGAAGTGCTTTCTCTTTAAGAAATTATTATTGTACTGGGAAGGAGCACTCTCACAAGACATCCATTCACATAGCAAGCATCTGAATGAGCCTGGGATTACCCTATGTGTGTTGCTTTGTGTTTAAATCCCCCACAGACCCTCCCTATATCTCCAAAGCCAAGAACACTGGGGTCTCAGTTGGTCAGAAGGGCATCCTGAGCTGTGAAGCCTCTGCAGTTCCCATGGCCGAGTTCCAGTGGTTCAAGGAAGACACCAGGTACCTGGGGATGGAGTACGGTCAACTGTGGTGCAGAGCTGAGGGATCATTCCTCAAGGGAAGGAGGATGATACAGAGGAAAGATGAGGCTAAACAAGAATTCTTACAGCTTCCTTCATAACAGTTTTCTCTAGAAACCGGAAGAATAAAATGGAGGAAGCTTGGAAGTAGACAAAATGAATTGACCTTGCTTCAGGAGCTGAGATTAGTGGTAGACATGGTGGTCTTGGGTGGATAGAAATCAGTGAATTTTTCTTTTGAGTATGATTTTCCTTTCTTTTATCCTCTTGCTGGAAGGGCTTGAGTTGGAGGGGCTGGGTTAGTTAGAGAAAAGGGGCCTCCTGGTGGGACTAATCTTGGCAACTTTGTGTTGTCTCAATGCATTCTGTCGGCACTTTCCATCTACCTGTAGAACCCGACCACAGCATCTTGTCCTGTTACAGGTTAGCTACTGGCCTGGATGGGGTGAGAATTGAGAACAAGGGCCGCATATCCACGTTGACCTTCTTCAACGTCTCAGAGAAAGATTACGGGAACTACACTTGTGTGGCCACAAACAAGCTTGGAAACACCAATGCCAGCATCACATTGTATGGTGAGTGCAGGAAGTCTGGACACTCTGGGCTCAGCCACGTTGGGGTGCTGGGGGGACTTAGGAGGGAGGAAGGCATGATCTGCTTGGCCTGTGTCCATCTGCACTGCTCAGCCCCAAACTTGAGCTGACAAACACATTCCCCCTGTCATTCCCCTGGCATGACATCCAGTGACTTCCAAAGGGAATTGGTTCCCTTGATCCTTGAAAGGCAAGGTTTTGAAAAGACTGGGTCAAATGCTGTATCAAGTTGAATGAACAGTGGTTTCCATAAGGAAGACAGAACCATGGAATAGTTTATCTTCCCACCCAAGGCCTGTGGGGATGAATTAGATGTAAGTTTAAGACACTGGTTCTGGTAAGAGTTCTCACGCTGATTGCCATGTCATGTTCACGTTCATCAGGGCTGAGTCCTCCCCAGATAACTGTTCTGTCCACACCTGGGCATCAGACCCTTCCCTGAAGGTCTTTCCATCCCATGCAGATGGAGCAACATCAGGAGTCATAACTGGCCTTCTTAGAAACCTCACCACTCCCCGACTCCACCCTGCCACCCTGCTGTGTTTGCATCTCTGTGCCACATGTCACACCACGGGCCACGGCCAGCTGGTGATCTCCGTGTGTGTGCGTGTTTGTGGATTTGCTGAGGTTTGGTTAGAGGGAAGCATCTGAGGAGTAGGATGAAGGGGTATGCATTCCTCGATGGATACCTCAGACCCTGAACAAGCTTTCAGTGTTGACATTGACTGAACTTTGTCCGCCACCCATCTGAAATGTGTGATCTATGTCTTTTGTCTCCTCTCTGCATTGTGTGTGCATTGTGCTGTGTGTGTCTTAGAAATAAGCCCCTCATCCGCAGTGGCAGGTGGGTACAGCATGTTCCTTTCTGCCTGCCTGAATGCCTATGCTGTTTAATTTAAGCCTACTTCAAAGACAGGCTTGCCTGCTCCCCCTCCTTGCATTGGTCCAGAGTGGAGGGACTTTGCAGGGTCTGATTTGCACCGTTTAGATAACAAACATATAGATCCTCATGGCTTATACATGCACACTTAGGGAATACCATTATAGGTTTCAGGGGAGAAAGGTCTTGTCCCCTAGATCATAAACTTGTTGGTTGTCTCTAAAAAGGATGAGTATTTTGCCACTTCTGCACACAACAGCACCAAGAGCAACCCAGTCTCGAGACCAAATGGCTTATTGCTTGAACATCTCCTTAGAGAAATCACTATAGGGCTAGCCTGGATGGCCAGTGGCTTGTTATAAAAATCTTGCTTAAAAACGACAGCCCTTGGGGTCATTATTTATCATGGTAGTCTCTACTATTTACCAGATATTTATGGGTGTCTGTGCCTCACATTCATGCCATGCAGGACAGGTTGTTACACTCATTTTACAAATAAGGAAAAGGAGGACCCAAGAGCATGGGTAACACTGAAGAGCGCATACCTGTGGTGAACAGGCAGGAGATGGTGCTCAGAGCCCTCCCTCAGCGACTGGGGGATGAAGCAACAGCCCCACCCACACTTTCACTCACACTTCCAGGTGAGACAGCGGCTGTGCCCAGCTCTGCTTGCAGAGGTGGAAGGTGCACAGCCCAGCTTTTCTAAGATGTCAGTCTCAATCCCAAGGAAAATGATAATACCAGAATTCTCTAGACCTGGGGTCAGCTCTTCAATGGCCCCTTTCCATAGCTCTGGGTCCAGGACACAGACAGGTGGCCCCTCCCATGCTATGATGGCCATGAGTGCCCACACTTTGGTCTGGAGAGAGGGTGGGAGGGGCTGCTGCCATGCCGTTGACCTGTAATTATTACCTGGCATAGCGGGGTTGCTTGTGGCAGGGAATATGGCTGACAGAAGGGCCTGAGGCTGACAACCAGAGGACCTGGGCTCTTGTCCCTCTCTGCCATCAACTACGGAAAGGCATGTGTCATGCAGAGACTGACAGGCAATGTATATTAAGATGATATTAATCTGTCAGGCTGCCCTAGCGAAATACGAGTCTGAGTGGCTTCAACAACACGCATTTATTTTCTCCCAGTTCTGGAGGCTATGTGTCCAAGATCCGGGTTCAAGCTGATTCAGTTCTGGGATGATGGGTCTGCTTCCTGACAGCAGCCTTCTCCTCTCATGGCCTTTTTCTTCAGAACTCATAAATAGGGAGAGAACTCTTTTATGTCCCTTCAACTCCAACTCATACCAAGCCAGAACTTCATCTTTCTGACCACATCATCCTCAGTCACCACCCTGGAGGTCTCATCTCTGGCTTCAACCGTGCTGTGGCCTAGGGCTTTGGCATCACAATTTGCAACAAGGGGAGACACTATTTTTTCCATAACAAAGACATGGAATCGCATCCAAATTCAGCCACAAGCCAGGCAGTCACTTAAACTTGTTGAGCCTTATTTTCCTGCTCTATGAGAATGCGATTGGGATTGTAATGCCCACCTCAAAAGGCTGACGAGAAGATGAAACAGGGCTGAATACATATAAAGAGTCTTGCAGATACTAAGCTTAGGTGTACGACTTTGACAAGACGCAAAGACAGCCGGCCTCAGCTTACCCAGCTGAAATCAGGATGGCGTGTCTTGGCCTGCTGACCTAAATGGCATCACGAATTTTCAGTGAAATATGTTCCTCAGTGTTGTCTGACCGGCTGGAAATGTTTGTACACCTGCAAGGTACTGTGATTCCTTGCCAACATTTTTTGAGCTAGGATCCATCCCGCCACTGTTCCTGTTCCGACGTATGCCAGATACCGCTCTGTTGGACCTGTGCTTTCCTGCCCTTCAGTCTCCTGTCCATTTCAGGGCAGCACTCGCCACTCCCCCATAATTCACCCTGTCTCACTTCACCCTGTCGGCGTCCACTCACTGCTCACCATTCGTTCCTGACAGTCCCCTGGTCTCTCCCCTCCCCATTACATTCCCTCTCTCCCCTCTTCTCACTGCTGCACTCACACCATGTGTTGGCTAGCATCCACCCAACACAACTGCGTGCAAGGACCTGCTCCAAGGTGTGGCAAGCTCTAGGGAATGATGATACATACAACAGGGACACCACAGATGGACTCTTGGTTTCCATAGACTTGACCTTCTAGTTGCGATTTTGCTTTAGTTTCCTGTATCTACTTAATTTGGTTGCAAATCACTTTTCTTGCAAATCTTGTGAATAGAGGGACAGTGTCTAGGCTGAATTCCTAGGACCTAGCACAAGGATCTGCATGCCATGGCTAGTAAAAAAAGTTTATTGAATGAATGCATGAATGCTCAATATATATAGAGATACAAAGGTTGTATTGGTGATTCTAAAAGCACAGCTGTCAGGAAGTGACACAGGCACATCAGGAAGTCACATGTGACCAGACACGTATCTCAGGGGATTTTTGGGCCCAGTTTGTTCTGCTGGTTGGCCAAATGGCTTTGAAAAATTCAGTATCATCAATGAATCTTTTTATTTTCGGCAGTGAAAATATTTTGGATAAGGCCTTCCACGGTCCCCACGGAGTCTCTTTCTCTGATTGTGGCAATAGCTTTGGCACAAGATGAGAGTGGCAGTGTCCAGCTGATCCACTCTCTGCTGACCGTGAAGGCTCTTGCTAGTCCTTAACACCCCATAAGTATGACCAATTATAACAAGCCACTTACCACGCACAGAGCCAGGAGACTAAGTGTTTTTCATGTTTCAGCTCACTTAGGAAGTAAGTGCTAGCTATATTTATCCTAACTTTACACACAAGGAAATGGAGAGGTTAGGCAGAGAACTCAAGTCACTTTAGCTTATACATGCAGGAGCCATGATCTGAGGCCCTGCCCTCCAATTCTGGGGCATGAGTATTTTGCTGCCATTTCAGTCCAGCTCATAATCCATAGTAACACATCAGGGATGTCAGAAAATGATCTTCCAAACCATTAACAATTAGTAACAACTGGTGGCTTGGACTCACCTCCTGTACCAAATGCTAATCTCTCTGAACTGTCTGCTCCTACCTATGAAGTAATTTTTTAAAGATTTATTTATTTATTTGAAAGGCAGAGTTACAGAAAGGCAGAGAGAGAGAAGTCTTCCACCTGATGGTTCACTCCCCAGATGCCCACAACAATTGGAGCTGCGCCGATCCAAAGCCAGGAGCCGGGAGTCAGGAGCTTCCTCTGGGTCTCCCCCATGGGTGCAGGGACCCAAGGACTTGGGCCATCTTCTACTGCTTTCCCAGAGCATAGTAGAGAGCTGGATCAAAAGTGGAACAGCCAGGACTTGAACCGGTGCCCATGTGGGATGCTGGCACTGCAGGTGGTGGCTTTACCCACTATGCCACAGTGCTGGCCCCTGAAGTGATTTTTTAAATAGGAAAATTTCTTCATTTACAACCCATATACTCCTATTTCCCAAATACATACAAATACACACACACATACACATACACCCGTGAGCACATACATACATATACATGGACACATATACATACACATACACATACATGTATGCACACGCACACATCACACACAGACACACATGCATACACACACACTCACATATATACGTACACACGCACACAAGCAATGCCAAGGTATGTGTGTTTCTGCTCACATGGCTCTGTGTCTTAGCCCTGTCTCTGAACCCACCGTAACCTGCTTCTCACACACACACATACACACACACACACACCTTCCATGTATTTCCATAACCATGTACCAAGAGCAGAGATAAATGGGATAAGGCCAATCTCAGAAGAATCCAGAACACAAAGACTGTGGGAATAATGGGCTGGTGAGTGGGTGGCTGCAGGCAATGATTAGGCAGTATGAGGGACAAGAGGGTGGATGGGTAGCCATCAACAAATGAACACGTTGTTGGCGTGATGTGAGGGGCTTCTTTCCTGCCTCCTCACACCAGTCACCTTCCTGTGCCAGAGCCAACTCAAAGGCTCACACCCACCCACCAGCTTGCAGGTGCTGGGAAGGGCAGGCAGGATGCAGAGAAGGGGCCAGTACCAGCAGCCGGGAG